GGTTCTAATCCGCTCTTTAGATAGCTGTGCAGCCCTGCATATCTCTTAGCTTTCCCCCCAAATTAAGGCAGCTTCCCCTAGCAACCAGTCTCGCATTTGTGAGTCTCATATCCCACATGCTATCCGGTCTCTTATCAATGAATCGTTAATATTCCTAAAATTGCAACTGGCTGCTACAACTTCTAAATCAGTGCTGTACTCATCTATCTGGCCCCTGCAGCTGCTTGATCCCAGGTAAAGAAATTATATCCTCCCACCACTTCATTCTTCCTAGGGGGGTCTGTCCTGGTGAAAACTGGACAGTCCAGGGGAGGGCCATGGCCCGCTGACCTTCCCTGTTCCGGCGCCACTGATTTGCGGGTTTAATGTCTCTGGAGGCTTCAGTGCTTCCATTTTCTGTTATCAGCCTTGTCTTGTAAAACAAACGGTGTACTCACAGCAGTATTCTGCTCTCTGCAGTGCAAGTCTGAACAGTCTCTCCCGTGGTCTAGGACTCGATTAGCTCTGCCATTATGTTTTATGCTTCACTGTGTTTGAATCACCTACCATATAAAATTTTACTCTGACACAGGGTTAATTAAACTCCAGCTTTATTGTGGCTGCTTACATCATGGTGTTTTCAGCGTCATGGCTTTTCAGAAAGTTCCCCATGAGGAGTCACTTCTAAGCAGTTCCCCCAGGAAACAGTATGTTGCCTGAAAGTGTCTGCTAACGCTCAAGCAACAGGTTTCAGAGTAGCAGCCGTGTTAGTCTGTATTCGCAAAAAGAAAAGGAGTACTTGTGGCACCTTAGAGACTAACAAATTTATTTGAGCATAAGCTTTTGTGAGCTACAGCTCACTTCATCAGTCGCAGACCACACCACACGATCCATTGTCTACAGCCAAGCTCTACGATACAACCGCATTTGCTCCAATCCCTCAGAGACAAACACCTACAAGATCTCTATCAAGCGTTCTTACAACTACAATACCCACCTGCTGAAGTGAAGAAACAGATTGACAGAGCCAGAAGAGTACCCAGAAGTTACCTACTACCGGACAGGCCTAACAAAGAAAATAACAGAACGCCACTAGCCATCACCTTCAGCCCCCAACGCATCATCAAGGATCTACAACCTATCCTGAAGGACGACCCATCACTCTCACAGATCTTGGGAGACAGGCCAGTCCTTGCCTACAGACAGCCCCCAACCTGAAGTGAATACTCACCAGCAACCACACACCACACCACACAACAGAACCACTAACCCAGGAACCTATCCTTCCAACAAAGCCCATTGCCAACTGTGTCCACATATCTATTCAGGGGACACCATCATAGGGCCTAATCACATCAGCCACACTATCAGAGGCTCGTTCACCTGCACATCTACCCATGTGATATATGCCATCATGTGCCAGCAATGCCCCTCTGCCATGTACATTGGTCAAACTGGACAGTCTCTACATAAAAGAATAAATGGACACAAATCAGACGTCAAGAATTATAACATTCAAAAACCAGCCAGAGAACACTGCAATCTCTTTGGTCACTCGATTACAGACCTAAATGTTGCAATTCTTAAAAAAAAAAAAAACTTCAAAAACAGACTCCAAGGAGAGACTGCTGAATTGGAATTAATTTGCAAACTGGATACAATTAATTTTGGCTTGAATAGAGACTGGGAGTGGATGGGTCATTACACAAAGTAAAACTATTCCCCACCACCACTGTTCCTCAGGTGTTCTTGTCAACTGCTAGAAATGGTCCACCTTGATTATCACTACAAAAGGTTCCCCCCCTGCTCTCCTGCTGGTAATAGCTCACCTTAAGTGATCACTCTCATTACAGTGTGTGTGGTAACATCCACTGTTTCATGTTCTCTATGTATATAAATCTCCCCACTGTATTTTCCACTGAATGCATCCGATGAAGTGAGCTGTAGCTCACGGAAGCTTATGCTCAAATAAATTTGTTAGTCTCCAAGGTGCCCCAAGTCCTCCTTTTCTTTTTGCTCAAGCAACAGCAATTTGTGCTGAAGTTTTCTAAAAATCTGTTATAAGACTGCTGAGGCAGCTGCATCAAGGCACTAGAGAGTGTTCCTCCTGCAGTGATTCAGAAGCTGAGAACAGCAATAGGTAAAGTTTTGCTGCAAGAGTCACTCTTCTCCCTGCCCCTTCTAAAGTAACCTATTCTGGCACTTGAAGTTGCTGTTAATCAGTTGAAGTGCTGCTTTTGGGCCAGATGTAGCCCCAGCCAAGTGGGTCTGTGTGTTTTCAATGTCAAGTGCCAGCAGCAATCACTGCTTTATTCTGTTGAAGCTAATGCTGGGACTCATTTGCCCCTCCCAACAAATCCAGGAATACATGAACAAAAAGGATGGTAAGGCAGGTCTTGGTGGGCCATCGTAGGAAGGAAAGTGCATGGTGTCAGAATTTTCAAAAACTCTGGACCTTCTCAGAGTGGGTAGAAGGGAATCCTAGTCCCACCAAACAATATTGACGTTAATGATGTCTCCATCCATGTTGTGATTCTGGGCAGTTCTGCCTCCTCACACTTGTTATGCCTCACAAAACCACTCTCAGATTAAAAATACCCAGAGAGATGTCAGTATGTACAGCAGGTGTAAAATAGAGGCAGAGCATGCTTTTGGGAGGCTGAGAGCCAAATGCAAATAGCTGCTGACTTACAATGTTAATTCAATGACTAATCAAACCATTATAATGTCCTCCTCCTGCACTTTACGCAATACTTGTAAAACCAAAAGGGAGGTCTTTGAACAACGGAGTGAGGAAGCAATGGGACTGGCAGCAGCCTAGCCAAACAAACAAGCTGTGGCAGACTCCAGTATAATTTACAGCATCCGCACCCTTCTTCTCTCATCCTACAACAGAGGACTAAGAGTATGTGTTATGATGCCAAACTAGATTACACAGTATAATGGATCAGACTAGAAGATGGTGACATTTACTAGTGCCTGCTAACTTCCACTCATGGTGTATTGGATCCATTCTTCCTCTCGGAGACCCTAGTCTGATGTGAATTTGAAATGCTCATTGTGGACTTCAGGAGAGGCTGTGATGTTACTTTATCTTCTACTGAACAGTTATGAACAATCAAATTTAATTTAACACGCTGGCTGCACAAATGCGTGAACTTGCTTCTGGGTCACTTTCACAGGCGGTCTCGTTCTGATGGGCTGAATTCATAAAACAGATGTACAAAATAAATCACAGACTGGAAAAACAAACAAACAAAACAAAAAAAAACTTCCACTCATGGGAACTTTGAAAAAGTCTTCTCTATCCCCTCACTCTACTGATAACTTATATTCAAAATATGCTTTTAAATTAAAGGTCTCATATATATTATAATTAGGGCTGTCGATTAATCACAGTTAACTCACATGATTAAAAAAAATTAACTGCGATTAAAAAAATTAATCACAATTAATCACTGTGTACATGCTTGCTTTATATTCTTTTTTATTACAAATATTTGCACTATAAAAATGATACACAAAAGAAATAGTATTTTTCAATTCACCTCATACTGCAATCTCTTTATCATGAAAGTGCAACTTACAAATGTAGATTTTTTTTTGTTACATAACTGTTTTGTTTTTGAGTGCAATGTAAAACTTTAGAACAAGTCCACTCAGTCCTACTTCTTGTTCAGCCAATCGCGAAGGCAAATAAGTTTGTTTACATTTATGGGAAATACTGCTGCCTGCTTCTTATTTATAATGTGAGAAAGCGAGAACAGGCGTTCGCATGGCACTTTTCTAGCCGGCGTTGCAAGGTATTTATGTGCCAGATGTGCTAAAGATTCATATGCTCCTTCATGCTTCAGCCACTATTCCAGAGGACATGCTTCCGTGCTGATGATGCTCATTAAATAAATGTATTAATTAAATTTGTGACTGAACTCCTTGGGGGAGAATTGTATGTCTCCTGTTATGTTTTACCGACGTTCTGCCATATATTTCATGTTACAGCAGTCTCGGATGATGACCGAGCACATGTTGTTCATTTTAAGAACACTTTCGCTGCAGATTTGACAAAACGCAAAAAAGGTACCAATGTGAGATTTCTAAAAATAGCTACAGCACTGGACCCAAGCTTTAAGAATCTGAAGTGCCTTCCCACATCTGAGAGGGACGAGGTGTGGAGCATGCTTTTAGAAGTCTTAAAAGAGCATCATGCAGATGCGGAAACTACAGAACCCGAACCACCGAAAGAGAAAGTCAACATTCTGCTGGTGGCATCTGACTCAGATGATGAAAGTGAACATGTGTCGGTCTGCTCTGCTTTGAATTGTTATTGAGCAGGTCATCAGCATGTCCTCTGGAATGGTGGTTGAAGCATGAAGGGACATATGAATCTTTATCGCATCTGGCACGTAAATATCTTGCGATGCTGGCTACAACAGTGCTATGCAAACTTCTGTTCTCACTTCCACATGACATTGTAAATAAGAAGCGGGCAGCATTATTTCCTACAAATTGTAACCAAACTTGTTTGTCTGAGTGATTGGCTGAAGTAGGACTGAATGGACTTGTAGGCTCTAAAATTTTCCATTGTTTTATTTTTGAATGCAGTTATTTTTTGTACATAATTCTACATTTGTAAGTTCAATTTTCATGATAAAGAAATTGCACTACAGTACTTGTATTAGGTGAATTGAAATATACTATTTCTTTTGTTTTTCACAGTACAAATATTTGTAATAAAAATAAATATAAAGTGAGCACTGTACACTCTGTATTCTGTGTTGTAATTGAAATCAATATATTTGAAAATTTAGAAAACATCAAAAATATTTTTAAAAATGGTATTCTATTTTTATTTAACAGTGCAATTAATTGTGATTAACTTTTTAATCGCGCAAGTGATTAATCACGATTAATTTTTTTAATCGCTTGACTGCCCTAATTATAACATTATTTCAAGGCTGTTTTGGCAGCATTAAACATCAAATATAATTTTTAACTGTGTTTTTTCTATTTTTCAAAAAAAGCCAAAGTTATCAGAGTTGGTGAAGACACTTGAAATCCCAGAGGAGAACATAAGCCATATAAATGACTTCAGTGCAGCCAGAGAATTAAGAAAACTACAGCAGAAGATCAAGACTATTTTGGATGACTGGCTGCAACATTATCGAATGGCTTTTGGTCAGTCACTGTAGAAAAAAATTTTAGTGATGATTTTAATAGTTTTCAGTTTGCTTTTACTTCAGCAGGTACCACAATGGACAAAATAGCTCAAGGCCTGTCCTTTCTCTTCTTGATCTGCAGTTTCAGACTTAATTTTATAGAGTGGCTTTCTGGCTTTAAAATATTGTGCATTGAAACAGATAGAAGGGCAGACTGTGAACTTCTTAATCACATTGGTGAACAGTTAATCACATGAAAGGGTCCGGTGAAGCCAAGGTGACTGTGAAGTAGGGTATCACTCAAGATGAGCAAGAGAGGTGGGTTCTGGCCTTTAATGAGGAAGGCACCAATGACAGTGTCACTTCCACATTTCTCTGGGTCAGTGGCACTGTAACTTTTGCTAGTGTTTGGAGTTTGGGAAAGAAATAAGTTTTTAAAAAAACAAAGACTATCTGAATGGGTTTCTTTGGAGCTAGATATTCCGAAGACATTTGCTACTACATTTAAGCAGTACCTTATAATAATACATTAATTTATATTGGAATTCCTGTCTCTGCATGAAATTCATGTCTAGGCATTGGGCCAAAGTATGAATTATGCACCACTTAAGCCATATTTGGTCATTTAAGAGGAACTAAAGTGATGTACAGACCTCATGCTGGTCCTTTGCATGGGCATGAATTTCACCCACTGAGCACTGGCTGCATAAGAGATATCTTAAACTAAATCCATGACACCATGGTCTTCTGGTTCAGTATAATCTGGCAATGCCTGTATTTTGTAGTCTCTGTATTTGATTCCCTCCAAAGAGAAACATTCCATAATATTTGAGCCCTCTTGTAAGGAACATGACCTTGAATATCATCTTCCTTAGATATTATTTCATTTCTCTTATATCTTGTCAATATCGTTAATCCTGAGGATTTGTATCAGTTCCCGTGCATAAAAGTAGCCACCAGTAGAGCAAAAACATAGGTTTGGTTGCAGTTTTTACCCCCAACCAAAGTTACATCTGGTACAATAACCAGTTCTGCACACTAAGAGCAAAATCTCTCTCAAAGCTGCCAGGTCCAGGAGCATGTGAAAAATATTAGAACCAAGGTCTGCTACCTGAGGGAAGAATTTAGACTTAATTTCATAGTTGGTCTTGTGCTCCTGAATACGCAGTAGAAGAGTTCCCCTTACAGGCACATGAACACAGCTAATTGCAGAAGAAGGGCTTAGTTTTTTGTTGGTTTGTTTGGTTTTTTTGTCTCCTAAGACTGACATCTAGGGTGTGATGGTGTATTTCAGAAATTGACTCGCCACACATTCACAAAATGCCTGGCCTTCCTCAGAAAGCTTTAAGAAAACGCACAGTGCAGTCTGCAGCTGCTTCCCTGGTTACCTCAATTGTACAGAGAGCACAAGAGAAGAACAGAGAGGACAGTGGAGCCCACGAGTCAGACAGCTCTCTCCTGCTAGCTCGTTTTCAATCAGCTCCTGCTCACAACATGCAGGGGGAGCTGTCGCCTTATTCTCCCAGGTAAAAAAAAATAAAATCATTTCTCAAACTGAAATGTTTCTATGATGAGAACTTAATTGTGCATTATGGTGAATTTTAGGTTATTCTAATTAAGCTTAATTATCAGTGGCATAGAACCAATTCTTTCACTGTATCCCCCCGTGGCATTGTAAAAATAACAAGAATAAGTTAGTGACAGGAAAACCATGAAAGGTTTGGGAAAGTATCCTGAACTGACCCTGGAATACAGTTTATATAAAACATTTTACTGGATTATCATCATAGCTTTATATTACAATAATATCCAACAGCTTCATTCAGGAGTGGGGCACCATTGTGCCAGAAAGAGATCTTGGAGTCTTTGTGGATAGTTCTGGGAAAACATCTGCTAAATGTGCAGCAGTAGTCAAAAAACCTCACAATGTTTGGCACCAGTAGGAAAGGGATAGAGAATAAGACAGAAAATATCATAGTGCCACTTTATAAATCCAAGGCACACCCACACCATGAATACTGATTGGAAAAGGTGCAGAGATGGGCAACAAAAATTATTAGGGGCATGGAACAATTTCCATATGAGGAGAGATTTAAAAAAACTGGGACTTTCAGCTTAGAAAAGAGACGACTAAGCGGGGGGATATGAGAGGTCTATAAAATCATGACTGGCGTGGAGAAAAAGTGTTATTTACCCTTTCACACAACACAAGAACCCCGGGGTCACCCAATAAAATTAATAGGCAGGAGATTTAAAACAAAGAAAAGGAAGTATTTCTTCACAGAAGGGAAAGGAGTACTTGTGGCACCTTAGAGACTAACCAATTTATTTGAGCATGAGCTTTCGTGAGCTACAGCTCACTTCATCAGATGTATACCGTGGAAACTGCAGCAGACTTTATATACGCACAGAGAATATGAAACAATACCTTCTCCCACTCCACTGTCCTGCTGGTAATAGCTTATCTAAAGTGATCATCAAGTTGGGCCATTTCCAGCACAAATCCAGGTTTTCTCACCCTCCACCCCCCCCCCCCACACACACAAATTCACTCTCCTGCTGGTAATAGCCCATCCAAAGTGACAACTCTCTACACAATGTGCATGATAATCAAGTTGGGCCATTTCCTGCACAAATCCAGGTTCTCTCACCCCCTCACCCCCCTCCAAAAAACACACACACAAACTCACTATCCTGCTGGTAATAGTTCATCCAAAGTGACCACTCTCCCTACAATGTGCATGAAAATCAAGGTGGGCCATTTCCAGCACAAATTCAGGTTTTCTCACCTCCCCACCCCCATACACACACAATGCCCCTCTGCCATTTACATTGGTCAAACTGGACAGTCTCTACATAAAAGAATAAATGGACACAAATCAGATGTCAAGAATTATAACATTCATAAACCAGTCGGAGAACACTTCAATCTCTCTGGTCACGCTATCACAGACATGAAGGTCGCTATCTTAAAACAAAAAAACTTCAAATCCAGACTCCAGCGAGAAACTGCTGAATTGGAATTCATTTGCAAATTGGATACTATTAATTTAGGCTTAAATAGAGACTGGGAGTGGCTAAGTCATTATGCAAGGTATCCTATTTCCCCTTGTTTTTTCCTACCTCCCCCCCCCCAGATGTTCTGGTTTAACTTGGATTTAAACTTGGAGAGTGGTCAGTTTGGATGAGCTATTGCCAGCAGGAGAGTGAGTTTGTGTGTGTGTGTGTGTCCCTGGGAAAAAAAAAGGGGGGGGGTGAGAAAGCCTGGATTTGTGCTGGACATGGCCCACCTTGATTACCATGCACATTGTAGGGAGAGTGGTCACTTTGGATGAGCTATTACCAGCAGGAGAGTGAGTTTGTGTGTGTATGGGGGTGGGGGGGTGAGAAAACCTGGATTTGTGCTGGAAATGGCCCACCTTGATTATCATGCACATTGTAGGGAGAGTGGTCACTTTGGATGAGCTATTACCAGCAGGATAGTGAGTTTGTGTGTGTGTTTTTTGGAGGGGGTGAGGGGGTGAGAGAACCTGGATTTGTGCAGGAAATGGCCCAACCTGATTATCATGCACATTGTGTAGAGAGTTGTCACTTTGGATGGGCTATTACCAGCAGGAGAGTGAATTTGTGTGTGTGGGGGGGGGGGTGGAGGGTGAGAAAACCTGGATTTGTGCTGGAAATGGCCCAACTTGATGATCACTTTAGATAAGCTATTACCAGCAGGACAGTGGGGTGGGAGGAGGAATTGTTTCATATTCTCTGTGTGTATATAAAGTCTGCTGCAGTTTCCACGGTATGCATCCGATGAAGTGAGCTGTAGCTCACGAAAGCTCATGCTCAAATAAATTGGTTAGTCTCTAAGGTGCCACAAGTACTCCTTTTCTTTTTGTGAATACAGACTAACACGGCTGTTACTCTGAAACCTTCACAGAAGGGGTGTCCCGAGCCTCTGCCAGAAGCTGGGAGTGGACAACAGGGGATGGATCATTCAATAATTGCCCTGTTCTATTGATTCCCTCTGAAGCCTCTGGCATTGGCCGCTGTCGGAAGACAGGATACTGGGCTAGGTGGACCATTGGTCTGACCCAGTGTGGCCATTCTTATGTTTCTATGGGTTATACAGACACACGACAACTCAGACCCTGACGTGAAGATCTTGCCTTTTAAGGCCCCAATCTCCCAAATGACTTCACATGGGCAATATTACTTTGCATGAGGCCTAAGAAAACTTGAGATTTAGTTCTGCTCTGCCTAGAGTGCCAATTATACAACTCCCATTAACCTATTGGAGCCATGCAACTAAAACCAGAGAAATGTAAGGGGTAATTTTTGTTCTCTGTGTAATCCATAGTCCTTACTCTTGCAGGTGTATGGCTCTGAATCCCTTCCTACTACCAACTAGATTGCTTCTTTTGTTCACACCAGTACATAACAGGTGACATCATTATCAGTTAATTGAAAACAGATTTCACCCATGTATATGCACCATATATATGTACTGCAGAACACTTATCTGCTTTGTTTTCCTGACATTTAAACAACTGATTATTTACTGTTATTTTCTCTTGCAGAATTTCTTCTTTAGTAAACAGCAATATCAAACCAGATCAGCCAAATGTGCCTCAGTTCAGTTTAAATAAATACACCCCTGTATTACAGAACTCCTACGTATCTGGGTAAGGAAATCTGAGCATGCACCGGACAAGGTTGATTCTTAGTGTCTTACTGACAAGCCATTTCTGGAGCTGGATAAACATCTTACGAACACTATTTGTTTTTCCTGTGATTCAACACCATTACATGTGATTTCATTATAATACATTAGGAATCAAAGTAACTCTGTAAACCAAAGTAATTTACTGTTGTCATACTGGAGATATCTGCAGACAATGAGATGATGTATGATGAGACTGTCACATTCCACTGCTTCTCCCTGTTGAGGATTTGCTGCCATTTTTACTGATGCAGAGGTGCCATTAGCTATTTCCTTAAAGAAAATTTGCACTGTATTTTTCTTTTATTTAACTGAATATGATACACAAGCTCAATGATACCCCGCCTTAGGTAAAGTAAGTAAAGGAACAACGTATTCAAATGTACACATGACCAGCCTGTAATTCCATCAGCAATCTGATATCCTGAAGCATGACACCAAAGCTCAAGTAGTTTCTTTCTGACTCCAGAATGCCAACATGGAATAATAACCCTGTTCTATGTTTCAGAGGAACAGCCGTGTTAGTCTGTATTCGCAAAAAGAAAAGGAGTACTTGTGGCACCTTAGAGACTAACCAATTTATTTGAGCATAAGCTTTCGTGAGCTACAGAGCTGTAGCTCACGAAAGCTTATGCTCAAATAAATTGGTTAGTCTCTAAGGTGCCACAAGTACTCCTTTTCCTGTTTTATGTCTATATAAATGTCTATTGTCTTCCTCCTGTATACAAGATCCCCTCTTCTCTTGACCCTCCTTCACACTTGTTTCTTATCCTTCTGTTAGTTCCCTAAAAATCAGGCCTTCCACTCCTTACACCGTACAGTATACAAGGTATAAGTATCGGATTCAAGCCAACATTTACTCATAGCTCTTTTCATTGCAATTCCTTACTCCTGGTACACTCATATAGGGACTGATCCAACACATTCTGAAAACAACGGGAGTCTTGCCATTAACGTCAATGGGCTGTGGATCAGATCCGTGGGCTTCAAAATTCTTCTTGTTTCCTGCACCTCAGAAAAGATTTGCCAGCTGTGAGGAAATCATGTTGTGAAGCGGGCGTGGCAGGTTCTCTTTTTTTACTGAAGTTGTGTGCAAGCCTGCAGTGAGATAGTTCTTTGGCATTTTACCAAGAAATAGGATGATAGCTTCACACTTCTACAGCACATCTCATCCAAGGACTTTTCAAACATGATCTAAGCTTCACACTGCCTTTGTGAGACCAGTAACACTCATACCCACACAATCCATGCTTAACTTCTGTGACTAAATGATTAAAACACAAATACACTACAACTGGCTGTCTAAGGGCATGAGGTGCATGTGAGACCTGCAGAAAACCAGGGAGACAGACCAGCAGACTTTGAAGTCTGCATTCAGGGTTGAGCAATTTTCAAAGCCTACTTGGCCAGCTCATCCAGTTAGGGAGAGCACCATCCAGCTTTCCCCTCTGGCAAGCACAGCAGCTCTGCTCCTGCAGAATTCAGGAACACCACAGCATCAGAGATTCGGTCACAGCTTTGGGAACGTCAGCCCTTCAACTAGCTGTGCATGTTGATTAAGCAGAGTTCAGAAAATGTAGGTTTGACCCTGCTGTGCTGTTTATAGATTATGGTTTAAAAGATGCTGTTCTCTGTATTCTGTTTATTTGACATTCTATTTAACTGGCTTCTGTTTTCACTTTAGGACCAAAGCCATGACTTGCCCTCTAATTTCCCCCCCTTTGCTTTCTGTTTCTCATGACAGTGATAAGCTATTGTTTACGTCCCACAGTGCTTGCCCTGTTGTCCTTCGGAGAATACTGATGGGGCAGGAAGGAAAGATATGCAGATGTAGTAATCATCAGATTCCATATGTATCAGACCTGGAGTATGATCACCTTATTAACAACCAGATGTCTGCCCTGGAACAAATCATGGTGGTCTGTGTGTCTTCTTCCTTGAAAACAAATGGGGATCCAAGTGAAGACAAATTAGAGCAGCTCCACGAGAGGAAGAACAGGAACCGAAGTATGCCGTGTATTCAGGTGGGTTTCATGGGAGTTTAGCACATTTGAAAATAGTTTTTTAAAAAATAACCCTTGGATCCATTTGCTGTTTATCCTGTCACCAAAGTTAGAATAGTTTTCTCACCATTTGTGTACTCGATACATTTGCATGGCTAGGAGAATACGGAGTAGTAAATTAATCTAAAGACTTTCTCTTCACATTTATGGGATCAAGTTTAGTATGGTATAAGGCAGGGGTTTTCCTTTTTCTTTCTGAGCTCCCCCCAAAACAAGCTATAAAACCCCCCACAGCTCACCTGTCCCACAACAACTGTTTTTCTGCATAGGCGTTAGGGGGTGGCAAGCTGAGTTGCTCGGGCTTTGGCTTCAGCCCCGTGTGGCTTGGGCTTTCTGCCCTGAGCCCCACAGAGTCTTAACACTGGCCCTGCTCTCCGGTTTATTTTGGCAGACCCCCTGAAACCAGCTCGCTGTCCCCCAGGGGGCCCTAGACCCCCAGTTGAGAACAGCTGGTGTAAGGTACATGTCACAAAGTGGGCATGAGCAACTCTATGTTGATGAAACTTGTGTACAAAGGGACTGGAACAAGATGTTAGTTAAAAATTGGAGACAGAATAGTGCATGGTGGCTACTTTAACTTACACACTTTTATTGCTGTTTCTTTTTCTCCCAGTCTTGAGGGCCTTGTCTGCACTGAGGATTTCTTGATTTTTTCCCCCAGCAATGCTGGGAACGAAGCACTAGCAGAAATCTGATCCAGATGTTTCTATCATCATGTTATCTAGTCTTAGATGGCATGATGATAAAAATAAATGCCAGGGACTGAGCTACAGTAATGCTTCCCACCATTATTAGCATTGCTGAAGCTGCTGGAACAAGATTGGGAGGATTTCAGAAAATCCCACATAGTTGCTGCCTGGATTGATGTGTACATAGTACCCGTTTAAGCACCTGAACAGGTCCTTACTGATGTGTAACTTATAACCCCTCAGCAATTGGCCCCATAGTATATATCAATTTTAATTAATCTATATTTGGAAAAAATAGACCATAAGGGGTGAAATCCTGGTCCCATTGAAGTCAATAGGAGAACTCCCTTTGATTTCAGTGGGCCCAGGATTTTCATCCAACAAGTTTAAAAGTGGAGGCCTGGATCAAATACAAATTTAATATCGCCAGTCTGCAAACAGGAGTAGTACTGGCACCACTCTTAAGTATCTGCTAACAATTTCATGTCAGGGTGAGTCCCATACATGTGGTTCCACATAAAAGAGAGGGAAGGAGAGGCTCCTGGGTGCAGGTGTATTCAGGTGTGCATATTGCTCTTCCCTTCTGGAGACCTGGGTTCCAATCCCACTTGAATCTCCAGTAAAAATGGGGTTTTGTGTTTTCCATCCTAGTCCTCGGATATTTGTCCACTTCATAAAACCCTATACTGCAGCCTTCTAATTAGTTCCTCCATGCTAGCGGTAGGATTACTAGTATTTTGAAAGTCAGGACTCCAGTACATCGAGAACTAAATGAGAAGCTTGCACCGTAGCTGCCTGCCATCCGTCCTTTCATAAGCACTAGATTTAAATTTAAACATACAGGTATGGCTTCTTTGAAGAAGTGGAAAATTAACCTAGAAGGAGAAATCCAACAATTATGAATACTATCTCCAAAAACAAGTGTGCTCAGAACAGCTGCCTTCCTCAGTCACAAAGAAGAAGATAATTAGTTCAGTTCAGCTCATCAGGATTTGTGCAGAGGGAATATTATGCACTGCTGATTGGTAGAATAAGATTTATAGCCTACATATTTCTATAATTGCTCTTCCTATGTTGCTTCAGGGTCGCCTGGACTCCTATCGTCTCCTCAAGTATGACATCACCTCTGCAGATGAATTTACCGGTCATAAAGGTTCATTACTGGTGCAAAGACATAATGTTGCTTCCGGCATGTTTTTGGTATGTTAAAACTGTTACCATTATCTACATGTACAGCCAAATATTTTACTTTTAATGATATTACCACTATATTGGAACAAGACTATGACTTCTGATTGTCACCATGCTGCACACTGTGTCTATTCAGACCCTCTTGGCAGTAGCCATAACAGTCTTTCTTCAGAAGCCCAGGGCCCTGCCACTGTCATGCCTTGATCTTAGCTATTCGCAATATAGCACTTGCGATACAAATTGCAGTATTCTAATTCTGCCTAGCAGAGGACTGCTGTACACATGCCACTAGCCAGTTCTTTAGAATATGAACCATGTTTCCCTTTCAGTTTCAATTTCAGCAGTTCGTTTTTGTCATGTTTCTATTAACGTGGCTCTATTTCATCTATTGCAAAAAAGCTTTGAAGGCATATCAAATAGGGTATCTCAGTCTTTAACAAGGGAAAAGCATGACCTTTCAATCTTATTGAAAACCTTTTGCAAATCAGGAAGGAGTTTAAATCAAACATACACATTGGCTAGTTTTCGGTTTAATATAGTATTGTGCCAGGTTTGAATTCATTAGACCCAAGGTAGAAGACATACTAATCCTTTAATACTTGAGTGACTGATGCAAAGATTTGGCCATAATAATGTATGTTACAACTCAGCAATAGTTATAAAAACTATACAGAAGACTTGATTCTTCAGCCCTTTAGTCCCATGCAATATTTGGCTAAGGATGGATAAATATTGTTGACCAGCACTCCTTTATTATTACACTGGGATCAAATTTATTCTCCATGTAACCACCACCACAAATGCTTCTTTTCCTTCAGTTATTCTTTGTTTCTTTCTTTTAACAAAAAAAGTCTCCATTAATGATATAGTGGTTATTTCCTGTAAACCTGTTACTGATAGGGAGCAACAACAATAATCATTTCCTTCATTTGCTCAATATGAATTTTCAGCACTTGCTATGGCATTCAGAGTATAGGAGCTTTAAATGTATTCTCCATTCCTGAGAAGAGTAACATTAAAAACTGTTTCCATTAGTGAGACGCCAATTATTACTTTTAAAACAAAGGCAAAGAAAAACATTCCACATGAATATGCCCATCCGTGATCAACTTATCCGTCCACTGGGTGACACTATTGATCCATACAAAGTTACTAGATTGCATCTAAAACTGCAAAAAGTGTGTCTAAGGAAGATAAAATTTAATATTTGACATTTAATTTCTCTACACAATATTGCCGCATGTAGCATTTTGCATAAAATATGTTAACTTCCTCCTTGATGGTGAAGGGTAAATTTGTCAGATTAATGATATAACTAAAAAGTGGAAAAAACAAAGCCTCCACTCTATATTTACAGAGCTGATCGAATCAGTGAAAAATAAATTGGTCATTTCTTAATGAGTGGAAAAGGAGACAATACGAGGTAGCTGAGCCCATTGTGTAGTCCATTGGGCATCACCACACATGTGCCAATGGAAAAACATGTATGATAAAACATCAGAGTCTGAATGAGCCACCAGCTTGTGCTACAGATGAGCACTGCTATAACAGGGCTGAGTAAAGATGGCTAGCCAGCTACAGAGATGTTTTGGCTTTGTTCCATATGACTGTTTTTGCATTTCCATATGGAAGTGGTTTAGTGAATATGAAAAAAGTTAGGAGGATAATGTAAAGCTTTATGATTAATGTTAATCCAGATGTTTACAGCAGTTCATGAACTTGCCTAACATTCACAGTCATTTAGAACGTGTAGACAATGAATAGATAGCAGTGTTCAATCTGACAGAATGAAATTTCTCCTTATTCTAGAAAGATGAACCACCACTGTGTGTTCAGTATCAATACTATAGCCAGGTTGATAGAGATAAAAGTAGTATATGGAGTCCAAATGCAACTGGAATTGGTCTATCTGTATGGCCTTGATTATTCCTCCTAGAAATAGGATGTAATTAGCAAGGTTGCTAACGTCCAGAGATGTTTTCTTAAACAAGGACCTAACCACCACATGTTTAGGCATGGCTGGCAGCTTAACTTTCTGAAAGTGGGTATTAACAGTCCTTTTCAATAACAGTCCCAGTGCCTTTCCACTGGCAAAACAACTAACCAGAAAAGAGATGTGTCAATTTCATAGATGGCGGGTTACAACTCCCTAAGCATACCCAAAATCTTAAAAATGAAACTGGGCAAAAAACAATCCATACAGATGGTGCCTTCCTTACTATTCCTATGGAAGCATTCAAACTACACTGAATCAACTGATTTTAAGAAATAAGTTGATGATTCCCTATAGCAAGTACCAGGTGACTTTCCATGCTGAGTCAGTGCAAGTTAATCTGCCAAAAAGACTGGTGGCAATTTAGGAAAGTTTCACCAGCATGGCCAAGGAGGAGAAAATGTGACCACAGCCATGCCACAGAAATGCAAATATTCTCCATGAGCCCTGTGACCAGATCTACGTGAAACTTCCAGCAACAGCACTCCAGCCTTCTGCCCTACTTCACGTTATCTGGATACTATGGTGACTTGCAAAGTCGGGGGGAAGCCTCCAACTGCTACTCTGTCAGTGGTCACAGACAACAGAGGGCCATAACATTCCATATAATCATCCACAGACTGGCCCAAGAGCTGAGTAATAAATTACCTCAGAATATTCTGGAACCTCAGAGTCCATCATTCTCCAGCGATAGATCCACTTAAGAACCAGGAATAGTGCCAGCCTCAGCCTACAGGAAGTAACTATCTGAGGGCAAAGGGGGTACTGTGCATTCAGATTAGGTATATATTTGCGGTTGACCATGGGCTTCTCAGGTTTTGAAAAACCAGGATACAAGTAAATTGTTGAAAGTCACATGGAATGTGGTTGCAGAGCCAGAAACAGAACCTTATTCTCCTGACTCCCACTGCTGTTCCTTAGCCACAATACCATCTTTCTTCCCCTTCCATTTTTTTCTTATTACTTTAAAGTTGTATGCAAAAGAAAGCTGATGTGTTCAAATACAGATATCAAGTATTTCAATTTTGCTTGTGTTTTAAGTTTGTAGGCAGCAAAATTAATATTTCCAAGAAGTGAAGAGTTCTTTTAAACCCTGTAAATTTAGGAATGCAAAATTAATTATTTTACATTTGTTATCTCAATGCAGCCAACTAAATTTCCTCTAATTGAGTCAACACCCTGGTGAATTTCTTTAGATGATCAGAAAAAAATCTCCAGAGAAGCACAAGTGTCATCTATGTCCTATGATCAAAAGGCAACTCTTAGCTTGTCTAAAAGGACAGCGTCCATCCTTAATTTCCTATTTACGCAACAATTAAACCAATAAACACAATCAAGTAATGGTAAACAAAAAGAAATAAGTAAGTTGTACAAATTTAAATAACTTCATTAATCAAGGGGAAGAATGTTTTGTGATATGAAAGATTTGATTTTGAACATTTTTCTAATGATGATTTAAATACCTTGAAGAAATGGTTTTACAGAAGCATTACAGCAATGCAGTTTGCTCCCAAGGGAAGCCACATCTCTCTGAACATGGCATGCACTTCCTGCTATGTGGACAAATCCACCATCATCTTAGGAATCTTTGGCTGGGATTCAATTCCTGTGCCTACAAAACATTAAAGAGCTGTACGCTGAGAGGGGAAACCAAGATTTAACACCACTTTTGGATAAAATGGCTTTTCAAAGGCATTGTTTGCACTGAACTAAAAAAAAACAACAACTCTCATCCGGCTTATCTTTCTTCCTTAAAGGATTTTAGCTGCTCTGCCCAATTTAGATGCTTTTTTCAGCTTGTTAGTGTATATGTGATTCATGAAGAATTAACAAAATATTGAATTTTCCAACAGTAGCAAGGCATGAAATATATTACCAGGAGACAAGTTCATTCTTAAACTGGAATGAGCCAAAATCAAAATACCTGCTTTGACCCACAGATACTGTAATAGCTGCAGGGAGGATGGTTGTAAGTTATTGCATCTGAAGCTGAACGTGAAGTGTGAAGTTAAGCTGGTGAGACAATTCAAAACACCTTTTATTCTAAAACTCCTTTCAACTGACTGACTTCGCTCACAGCAGTTGCTCTTTTCTGGGACTATGCAGGTCACAAAGCCCAGAACGAAGCGCATAAGGGCTGGGGAAAACGTCGGGGGATCCCAAACCCAAAACCCTATTCCAAGGAGAGTTCTGATCCATAAACGGAGGAGTGCCAGAGATTCCATGAAGTCCTCTAGTGACTTTCCTGTTGCTATTGATTTTATGTGGAAGGTGCTCAGTTACTGATAGGCATTATATAAAACTAGATAGATAAATGGAGCAGGTGAAGTCAGGCTGAACTGTCTGTATGAGTGTCCTTATAAACCAGGTTGAGATCCTAGCTCCCTGAAATAGAGAGGAGACCCTTATCACCAATATCTTACACATAAGGGAGTACAGACCTGATGGAGAAGGCTTGCCAGCCCATTGCCTTCCATTTGACATCAAGAGCAGAGCTCCTTTGGGGAAATCTGAGGTAGGTACAGTAAAAGCTTTGTTATCCGGCATGTTGGGGAAATGGTGGGACCTGGTTAATCAAATATTCTGGTTAACTGAGAGTTATGCTTTACGAATGAAATACCAATTTTCAAAGAATTAGAATACAATAAAATGAATAAAGTATAAAATACAGTAGTACAGGACACAAGTATTCACCATCCAGTAGTAGGCCTGCACTGCAGAGTGGTTGGTTTCTTGAAGCACTTAAGTGTATACAGGTAACCTACTGTATAGAAAACTTTTATCTTATGACGCTGCATATCACTATGCATATCATAGTGATATGCAGCGTCATAAGATAAAAGTTTTCCTTAGCAGAGGAAAGTACTGCCAGCTCCCTATGATACCGACTGCAAACTTTGGACTTTGCCAGTTTGTCCGCTGTATGAGAGAGATTCATTCTCTCTCAGCCTGTTCAAAGGGATCATCTTGGAGTTCTCCAGATCCAAACATTCAAGCCTAATCATTCTGGAATCCA